ATGGCTGGCTGGGGAATTCTGGGAGTTGAAGTCCACACATCTTCAAGTTGCCAAGGCCGAGAAACACTGCTCTAACTGCTTCACCAATAAGAAAATTCCTGCCAAGCTTAGTTTTGTCTTTCGGCATTCCAGACTTACTGTGGTTTGTTAACTAACCAGCAAAACTATTCAGGATTGGTTATTGGCTTGTTTCCCAATTGGCTGGATTTGGTTTAGATCATGATGCCTAATTCATACTAATGATAAGCCAGAAATCGGGGAGACGAAACTGAATTTTTCTTCTAGCTTTGTCAGAAGAGAAGAGAGTGAAGCATGGTTGCACAGGTTTTGTACATAATGGTCAATTCTGGCTTAGTGTTACATGCAAGTTCAGTGAAGGCTATCATAAAAGCACTTTAACCACTTGCAGTGAATAGCAAGAGCAAGTATTTACAGAGAACAAGAACAACTGAAATCTCAGTTCCATTTCAGAATTCACTGCCCTCTAAGCACTGAAAACGACCCAGTTGCTTGGGGAGGACCAATCATGTAGATATTTTGCCCCCCCCCTTTTCTTTTGCAGCCTATGGCACCCCCTTCAACTGTAATGTCTATCTGTCTTGTGGTTTCCTATCATTTTGAGTGTAAAATAGGTGGGATATTTTTTAAACAACCAAAATAAATCCTAAAAACTCCCACTCAAAACCTCGGGAAAAAAAAATAAAGCTCTAGCCAATCCAAGGTGGCGCATGCAGCTTGCATCCTTGTCCCATCCTCTAAAAAATAAGTCCAACCCCAGGCCACCAAAAGATTATCCACCCCTAATGTAAGTCCCAACCATGGAGACACCACTGTGCTTGGTATCCATAGAAAATATCCTTGTGGGGAGCTTCTGTCCATTTGTCTGAGTCCTTCTGAAATATGACCAGAATACAGTGTGATGAGTTGTTTGCAACTGATCAGCTCCTTTAGAAATAGGAAGAGCTTATTGTGGAGAGCTCAGCTGCATAGATGGAATTCTGAAGGTGGCCACTTCTGGTGCTTTGTTTCCTGTTTTTAAACCTGAGAAAGAATTGGATCCCTCTAAAGTTGAGGAACGAATACATTTATATTGCAACTATAAACTCTGCTGAATGAAATGTCATTAAATGCCCTGTCTCTTCTAAAAATCACTAAGCAGTGGAATGTCTTTGCCAAATCTATTGGCAAAATTGCTTCAGTTAGCCATTACAATAAGTTGCCTCCTCTCCTCCCTCCAGGCATTTAGACTTTTTTGAAATGCTCCGAAATGAAGATGAGTTGGAGTTTGCCAAAAGGTTTGAACTGGTATGTATGTCATTCACTTTTACATTTCTTGCTAAAAACTTAATTTGACTAAATAATTTTGATTATTTTGAAGCAAAAAAGAAATTGGAGGTAGCAAATTTTAACTAGCTACTTTCAATTATTGTCTGGAGGAATTTCAAGCAATGATTGTGTGTGGAAATACTAATCTTAACCTCAATTGTTTTGCCCCATCAAAATAATCACAGGTTCATATAGATACAAAAAGTGCAACCCAGATGTTTGAGCTCACAAGAAAGAGACTGACTCATACAGAAGCCTACCCACATTTTATGTCTATACTTCACCATTGCCTCCAAATGCCTTGTAAGTACAAAAAGTAATTTTAGGATTTTATTTATATTCATAGCAGACATTTTGGAATTGAGGATGGTAAATGGTTTGAATGAAGTTGGAAGTGCTATAACGTTAACATGTCCCTTTATAGCGGTATATTATTATAGCGAACCTGATATTATCCTACAGAAGCAATGAGATTTTCAGTCTATGCATCTTATTAATTTTGAAGTTTATATAAGTATGTACATAGATAGATAGATAGATAGATAGATAGATAGATAGATAGATAGATAGACAGACAGACAGACAGACAGACAGACAGACAGACAGACAGAAAGAAAGAAAATGTGTATGAAAGAGAAAGAGAGAGAGAGCATGTCACAAGAGTGATAAATTGATTGACTGGCAGGGGGGCAATTTCCTGAGTAAACCAGGAATTAAGGGTAACTTTAGTTCAAGCAATGCAGAAGCTTCCAGTCTTCATTACATTGCTGGAGAAGAAGACTTCAGAAGGAGAGATTAGATTTACATCATTTATTTTAAAAAAAGCAAATATCACCAAATGTTAGAGAGGAAGGAAACGGTCCGTAAGTGCAAAGGAATCTGCTGGGTGAAAGATTTTCTCAGTTATATCCAGTTCCTCAGGATTAGCCTGTATTTTCATAGAAATCCCATGAAATTGGAAGAGGCCATTTAAGCCAATGAGTCCAATTCTCTACTTAGTGCAGGATTCCAAGTTAACACATCCTCAATACATGGCCATCAAGCTTCTTTTTCAGAAAAGTAGTTCATTTCTTGTGCAATATCTGATCAAATTTCGTATGCTGATTATCTGCATGGACTGCTTCCTCTTTGTGCCATACTTTTCCAAGGTGTCCATTTTGTCTTCTCAGCTGTGGTCAAAAATGTCTTGACAAAACACTGCTTTCAAGAAAGCCATATGATATTCAGCTTAAAAATGTTTTTTCCACAATTTGCCTGCATTTGATGATTACTCAACTGCACGGATGTATGCAAGCATTTGCCTCCACTGAAAAGGCATTCTGAAGGATAAAGATTTTGACCTTCTGTCAAAAGAACTCCCTTAAGGGCTGCATCCTGAAATGTTTCACAGAGTTGAATTGGTATAACTTTCAAAAGGTTGCATATGAAACATGAGGAAGAATCTGTTGCAAATATCAAGCTTGTCCTTTCCCACAATCATTTCTTCCCACCTGCTCTCCCTTTGGAAACGGCTGCACAATTTCATTTTTACCAGGCATATCTGAGTACAGTAATCTCTTGGAATGCATTGCTATCTTCTAAGATTGTTTTTTGTCCTTCCCTTGCTTACAGGATTTATTTGAATAATGTTGAAGTGCACTATTAATATGTTGGAATTATATTTGTTAACAGTTGTTCTGTGTCTTTTCTAACAACGATTTGCCCTTATATTCAAAGATATGCAAGAGAAGATGCAGTGTATGGTTTGTTTTGTAAAAGAGTACCCAGGCATTTTCCAGTTTCAGTGCATCAAATGTATTTGCTTTCCATCCTATTCTCCAGCACTGTTTGACGTTGCTAATCATGAAATTTGCTTCTAGTAAAAGCACGCAAAAGTGACATTACACAAGTTCAGCCCTCCATACTTATGAATCATACCTTTATTTATGATTTCACCAAAGCAATGTCTTGAACACTATCCAGTTTTTATAGTGATATAAATAAAGGTATGATTCAGAAGTACAGAGGGGTAAATTTGTGTACATTCACTTTTGTGTGCTTTTATTCATAATTTTACATATGCATTATTCATCCGTTTCTTGGGGGGGACTTGCAGGTTATGAGTTAAATTGCATATGTTATTTTCTCTCACAATATATAGCTTTATAAATATACTTGATACTGAGACACAGCATTCAAGAAATTTAAAATAAGATATTCAGTCAAGTTCCAGGCTGTACTTTAGTCCAAGAAGTCCATCTCACATTCCCCAAAATTCTCTTCAAAGATTAATTTCTCGAGCTTCCCTACTTATAACAAAAATCACACTTATCTTCTGCAACTGGCTATTTCTGTCAGCATCTTTCAATGTTTGGTTCCTTTGAAGGGGGGAAAAAGGATATCAATTTGGACTGTAACAGGACCAAAGTGACTATTCCATTAACCCCAGTTTTAGATAGCGTGCATAAAATATCCTGTTTATTTGGAAGAAAGAGCATCTCTTGGGTGGGGCTCTGATACATAATGATCAAGTTTAGGAAAAGCAGTTTTCCACTGACACCCTTCCACCACAACCTGTAGCTGGTATTTGATCACTAAGGCACTATTTCCTGTAAAAGGCATCTGGGAAGGGAGGTTTTTTAAAATTGACATATACAGTACTTCCTCTTCCCACCCTTCACATTCATTCACAGTTTTTGTCTCTTTTTTAGATAAGAGAAACGGCAACACTGTCCAGTACTGGTTACTGCTGGATCGTATTATACAACAAATAGTTATTCAGAATGATAAAGGGCAGGACCCTGACTCAACACCCCTGGAGAACTTTAATATCAAAAACGTTGTCCGGATGTAAGGGCCTTCCTTTATTTCTGCACTAAATGATTTTGTTTTATTCTTTTTATCTTGCATGTCTTCTTTCTTTTGTATGAGTGGGTTGCTTGTTTGTTTTGATCTTTGAATTAGTCCTCTTCCTTAAAGGTTACACAATTTTGAAACAGTGACAGAGCTTCCTAATATCATGAATGCAAAAAAAAAAAATCTGTTTAACCAAGTTATCTATAGCTGTATTGCCAGTAACTTCACCCCCCAAAAAATATTTTGGTGTACTTTCTATAGCATCCTGGTACCTCGAGCAAAAGCTGAGAATGTTCTTCCTAATCACTTGTGTGTAAAAAGAATTTTTCTTTGAAAAAGTTGGCAATATTTTATAAGCCCAAACATTCATTCATATTATTCAAGGTAGCAATGTGTAAACAAATGCCACCGTAAAATATTTTCTGGGAGGAATATTGAATAAATGTAAATACTAATTGAACAAGTACAGATGCAATTTTCTAGGTTTTCCATAGACTTCATCTTAGAGTCTTGGATTTGCTAAGTATGTGGTGCTTATATTTATTAGAAAATATTTTCTTTTTTTTCTAGGTTGGTTAATGAAAATGAAGTGAAACAATGGAAAGAACAAGCGGAAAAAATGAGAAAAGGTAAATGATAAAAGTAGAGAGCCCTATCTTAAGAGGATTTTGGCTTGTTGGGACTGAGAAGAAAATTCTGCTTGAGGTTCTGTAGAGTCAGTGGCAACCCTAGGTTTGATGACAGCAATATGATGTCACTCAAATTAAGGCAACTTCTGGAATGCCATAGTTGTAAAAGGAAATGACATCATAGAAGGGAAAGGCTTAAAACCTGAATTCATTTTAGATGTGTAGATGGAGAATATCAGAGGCTAGCTGATTAATTTGAACTTTAAATACTGTAAGAAACTGGTACAAGATCTGCAGTGGAAGAGGAAGAAAAGCAGAGCTTCTGAAATGGGAACTTGCACACTTTATTAATTTCTAAATTGATACAGTTTATCTTAGACCAGGTAATTGCTTTATGTTTATCAACTTCGTTTTTTTTCACAAAAATACCTTTTATGTGAGTGGAAATGGAAGTAATCAATCTGGTTTTGTTTTTGTTTTTTTGTTTTTTAATAAAAAAGGACTAATTTCTAGGAGCACTAGTATAGTAATGTGTTTGTTTAGTGTTTTCCTATGAATGGTTCTTTCTCATAGAGGATAAAATCTGCATGTCTAATAGAGGAAAGGAAATACAGTGAAACTTCAACTTACAGGCCTGTCTTAGCAGATTTCAGATGCAGTGAATGAAGTTTGCTTCCAGACAGCCCTTCAAAATAGTGAAAAGTTTATTGCAGCCAAAGTGATCTGGATGATTTACATAAATTAATATTATGGCATCAATTTATGTAACTTGCATCAAATTTTATAATTATGAAAATGACATAAATTTGGTCAATTTGGACTAAATTGACATTCAGGTGTAAGTGTATGATTGTTGCCCATTTGCTTCACTTAATTTTTATTCATAATTGAACAATTATTAATTAATCAATTTAGGTTCTTACCATGGATGTTTAAATTTGATATATGTTTAAACTGCCAGGAGTCTGAGAAGATATGACAGCTTATAAGCAAGTTTAATAAATAAAGAAGTACCCTTTCCCCAAATGGTCCATTAATTTTCCATTTTACTGTATCAGGGGGGTGGGGGGTTATAACCAGTCATAACTGGTTTCGTGTGTGTGTTTTTTTCCTTGCATCTTAAGAAAATATAAGGCTACAAGAACTGGGCAGATAGAATCTAGAGGACCACTGGATGGCAGCAGAGATACTCTTTACTTCCATCTAATGGTGATTTGTATTTTTGCAGCCAGATCTGATAGATATCTGATAGATAATAGAACTTCATAAAGACTTCAAATGTAAAAAGCAGAAGGAACCTTGGGAATCACCCTGTCCAGTCCCCAGCCTGGTGCCAGAATTCTCTAGCAAATCTGTTTAAAACACCTCCATTGAATGGAGTTTACTACCTCCTGAGGCAGCCTGTTCTGCTGCTGAATAACGCTTGTTGTTGGGACATTTTTTCCTCACGTCCAAGCAAAATTTACTTGTGATTTAAATCCATTGATTCTTGTTCTGTGCCCTTGAACAATTCTGCCAAGTCTTCTACCTAACAGCCATTGATGACTGAGGTGGTAGATAAATAATTAAATAAATAAGACAGTTGTCCTCTATCTCTCTGCAGCCTTCTCTTCTCCAGGCTAAACATATGCAATGCTTCCAGCCATTTCTCCTAAGTTTTTCCTCCCAGGCCCCTTATCATCTTAGCTGCTGTCCTCTGGACTTATTTCTAAAATGGTGTGCAGAACTGAATACAATATTCTAGGTGCAATCTGACCAGCTTAGAATTCAGAGGAATTTAAGGACTATTAACTGAAACTATTTTCCATGAGGAAATTTTCCTACATATTTAATGGGATAGGAGTGGAAATAACCAATAAGTGCTTTTTTCAATCATACATTAAACTTTTAAGAACAAAGAAAACTGCCTTTATATTGGGTTAGACTATTTCTCCACCTAGCACAATGTGGTCCTCTTGAATTTTTATCAGCCCAAATGCACACAGAGGATTTTCCAGTCCCTTGCTACTTGAACTTTTTGTTTTTTAATGAAAAGTCTGGATTGAGCATCTGGAATCTCCTTCTAATAACAGAATTATTCTCATCCTCTCTCCAAGGCGTTTAATCAGAATAGGTCCACCATGAGCATGTTAAGGGGTCTAGTCTGCTTTCTGTGGTAGGTTTGTTAATACCTTCCCTATCCAAATTGGGAGAGTTTCCTAAACAAGCTTTGCTGAAGTTAGGGGGTGGGGACACAGGGCATATTTCAGTATGGCTACTGTATTACCCCTGGTTTATTATTCCTTTAATTGCCATGATTCCCAATGCAAGGGGAACTTCTTCCATGATCATGTTCACAGCATGCCAAGCAACAGTTCAAAAGCACTAATTATAAATGTTTAAATATTTCCCTCCCTTTTTAAAAGAACATCATGAGCTACAGCAGAAATTGGAAAAAAAAGAGCGAGAGTGTGATGCCAAGACCCAGGAGAAGGAGGAGATGATGCAGACCTTGAATAAGATGAAGGAGAAGCTTGAAAAAGAACTCTCTGAGCATAAACAAGTGAAACAGCAAGTGGCAGACCTCACAGCACAGATCCATGAGCTTAGTAGGGTGAGGCCAAGCCCCAGACTCTCCTTTCAGTGGGGGGAAATATGCCATCTATCTCAATTACAACTATGTGCCCTTTAGAAGTAATGCCATCAGTCAAAAGGCCCAGGCAAATAAGAAAAAGGGTTGATTTGTGACTGAAAAGATTATTGAAGCTGTCATATATTTTAAGGGTAATGGCTAAGAGTAGAGTTCTTCGCTGGCTCAGAGAGCTGCGCTTTCCCACAGTGAACAAGAACTTTCGTAACTGGAGCAGGCAGATGGTTTTACTGTCAAAAGCTGGATCCCTGCAGGAGTAATCTCCTCTTCAGCAGTGAAGGAGAAAAGTTCTACTAGCTAAGCTTCTTCTCAGCATGGTCTCACAAGTCTGACCTTGTCTGTCTTTCCACGTTACGTATCCCAGACCTGCCTCTTAAATGGAGTGTGCGGACCAGTTAAGGTGGTTCAACAGCGCTCTGGAACTGCAAACAGTTAATACAGAATAGTATCCTCTGCAGTATTTTCACTCTCTTGTTTATTTCCTCTCCACTTAATCCCCAAACAGCCTTCTTGCTGCACACTTCATAGAGCATTTTCTGCAGAAAAGAAAGTCATTGCTTTGCCCAAAGACAGCAATAAGCACCACAAGGAGGAGTAAAAAAGAGAGAGCTCTTCTCTGATTGGCTAGAGCAGGGGGCTTCAAACTTTTTCAGGCCTCAGAATCCATTAGTTTTTTAAAAATTCCCAGGACCCCTAATCAAGAGGCAGAGCTTCTACGTGCCCTGTCTTTTCTGCTATACATTGGAAAAATTGCAATGGATGCCCCTGGCCAGCATTCAAGTGAACCTTTTTCCCCCCCTTAATCTCTCATGGTACCCATTATGTTCTTGCAGAACCCCAAGGTTCCATGGAACACGGTTTGAAAAACCCTGGGCTGGGAACATCCCTTCCTGCTTTCCTTTTCCTGTTGCTGAAATATTCCATAAACCAAGTGCGCATTGCAGAGTCCTTAATATTTCCATATTATTATTCCTTTGCAATTTTATTGATGGCTGATTTATATATTGTGAACAGTATTATCATCATGGGTATCCTAAATGTCATCTCACTTGGCTTGATCTTTGAGTTTGCCTGCAATTCCTAGAGCAGTTACATTTTCTCCTTTTATTTCAGAGAGCAATATGTGCTCCAGTCCCTGGAGGACCTCCTCTGCCACCCGGTGCCCCTGGGGGGCCCTTACCTACAGCCTCTCTAGGATCTCTTTTCCCAGTTCCTCCTCCACCCCCTCCCCC